CCACGAGACGATAGTGAAGCTGCTGCTCGAAGCAGGCGCCGACGTCAACGCGCAGAGTGGATGGTACGGCAACGAAAACGCGCTCCAGGCAGCTTCAGAACGAGGCCACGAGATGATAGTGAAGCTGCTGCTCGAATCAGGTGCCGACGTCAGGGTGCGGGCGCATTAACAGCACAATTTTACTATCATATATTTATTATTCCCTCTATTTCATAGAGGGTCGGGGATCAGAATGATTATATAACTTAGCCCGTGGATTTGCCACAGCGAAGCTCCGAGCATGCTCTAGATCGAATTGGTGGTGAGACGGCTACTTCTAGAAAGTTCTACTCGCCTTGTAGATTTGCCACTTCTGCCTCGTTAAACTGATGAACTCTTCCGATGACACTAGCAGGAAGGACGGCCGACCCGCACCTGCTATAGGGTTCGCTTCTTCTGCTCTTCTTGTTACATATATCTTCTCTGGCCCGATTCTAGCTAACATCTTGTTGCTCTACCCCATGGCAGCCTACTAATTGTCCGTCTAGTTAACATAAGCAAGAGCCTATTAAAGGCGGCAGTATTAATTAGACTTGCTAATAAGAGGCTTCTAAGTTGCTAAGCGCCTAAAGTAACGCTCCTTCTTAAACGCCTTAATTGGGGTTCTCTAGCAAACGTTAAATCTAAGCTCGCAGGCAATCTGCTCCCTTAACTTCCTACATTGTGTAGCGTTCGAAGTAGCATAGGCGATAAGGCTAGGCGATAAGGGCGCAGCGTTGCGGTGTATCGAGAATTGGTTTTCTGCCTGTACGCGGAGGCAAAGGATTCTCGCCCTAAAGCAGGCAGAGTGATCCTGTTGACTATAGGACGCCTAGATGGCGTCTAACTGCAGTTTAGGTCTATCTAATCGATCTTAGGGTGTGTATTTGTACTTGTTGTTTGTACGTGAGCATTGTTTTAGGGGATTTTTGCATTTAAGGCATGTTAGCAATGTTAACTTAAGTTAGGTGTAGGCAATAAATGCAGTGCGTAAAAAGTGCACTTATTTTAGAGTCGTTTCTTGATACAAAATAGAGTACCCCTCTAAGTTAGCGCACCTCAAAGTCCGGGCGCGCGGCTATCCAGATCGGTGGGCATGATCTAGGAATGCACTGCGGATGTCTGGCCGAATGGGGTTCGGAACGTCATGTTAAGGGAATCTTGACTGGCCGCACTGGTAGTCAACTTCGATGCATCCGAGGAGGGAGTTGAGTGCTGCACTGGTGAAGAGAAGGTCTTATGGAAGCATTGAGGTCACATCGGTGAACCCTAAGGAAGGGAAAGGGGTGTAGAGCCTTTGGAATTAAAAGCTGAGGGAATCGAAGACCGAAAGGCAATTGGAGAAGGTAACAGGAAGACTGAGAGAGGTTTTCTGACATCGGGCGGCTGGCTCTGCACTGAGGGGCGAAGTTTTGCGGTCGGACAGCCGCTCGGAATGCACGCTTAGAAGGCTTTGCCAGGATCTCGGACTCCTCACTCTAGAAGTTCGTCGAAGAGACGTTTGAGCTTGATGGGGCCAAGCTCTTAAGTGGGGGAGGAAATTGTAGTGTAGCGGGTCGGAGTTTTTAATTTGAATGTCACGTGAGGGGGCTAAGGGTTAACCGACCAGCGTTCGCCGTTCGGTCTACCCCGGAGGCGGAACAAGAACATTATCATCACCACTATATAGTAATTTTAATAGTAACGTACTCTACAGGCAAGTTGCTTACATAACTAAGTTGCTTACTTTTACTAAGACTCTACTAAACTACTCTTTTTACACTAATACATTCCTAACAACACTACTTAGACATGCTAAAAAAATATTAGGTATAGCTTCTACTTTAAGCTTTTAAGTAAAACATAACACACTTAAAGTAATATACTATAGCTATGTATAAAGTTTTTTAAAAAATAATTAATAACTACTATAACATACTTAATAGGTAAGTTGCTTACACATCTAAGTTACTTACTTTTACTAAGACTCTACTAAACTACTTTTTTTACACTAATGCATTTCTAATAACACTACTTAGATGTGCTAAAAGAATATTAGATATAGCTTATATATTAGGCTTTTAAATAAAACATAACACTTTTAAAATAATATACTACAGCTATATATAAAGTTTCTTAAAAAATAATAAATAATTTATACACTAAATACCTTTTATAAGCTAATTCTATAGCTAACTTATAACAGCTAAGTAATAATAAAAAGTAAGTAATTATTAAGCCTATGCTTAAGCTATATGTGTAAAAATTTTAATTTTAGCTAGTAGCTATAGCTAATATAGCTAATTATTTACACATTAAGCATAATCTAGGCTATGTTAGTATAAGCTAGCTGTCATGATTGTGCACGAGTAAGGTTATAGAGCTTCACGGAGGTCTAGTTCAATTACTACGTGAGGTATTATAGTAGGTACAAGACGTTGTGTGAGGAATAGAAAGGTTTAAAAGAAAATTAGTAATTAAATACTTAGCTTAAAAGTCTAAGCGCTTTAGGTATAAATTAAGCCTATTTTAAGTTTAGTTAGTGTTAAAGCAGTTTATACTTAAGTTTATGTCTATGTTATGTTATATTTATGTTAGACGTGCACTAATAATACTCTAGTACATGTCTAATACAGTTATGTCTAGGATCTAGGGAGGATACTGTAACAGTACCCCCCCTTTTATTAAAAAAGGAATTCTTTATATTAGTAGTTCTAGCATTAGGTTGTTTTTATTAGAGTACAGGTTTAGTTTAGATAGGTATTAGGCGTAAAATTAGGTTACTATAAAGTTCTCTTATAAGGCTTCTATAGGTTCTTATAACAGTTTATTATATCTAGTCTATTTTATAAAGTATTTATAAGTATGTTTTTTTTTATTAAACTAGATCTATTTAATGTCTTTTACAACATATTCTAGTTTATTATTTATAATAATAGGTTTAGGTAGTAAGTTTAGCTGTCTAGGTAGATAGTTAGATTTAGAGGCTACTTAGCGCAGTAACAATATGTAGAACATAGGGTGTATCTTTATGCTGTTAGGTAGGATTAATTAGTAAGCATGTAATAAGACTATATAGGCTACTGTAAAGAGGCTAAAGTTCTTTTAATTAAGTTTTTTTAATTATTAGTTTATTTAGATATTTCTAGTGTCTAGCTAGACCTTCTTGCTAGCTGCATACGCAAGGGCAGAGGTTTAGAATTAGTTTATGTACTCTTATTAAAAAGCTTAAGCCTATGTAAGCTTTTTATAAACATATTTAAATATATTTTAAATTTTATTAATAAGTCTATTTATGTCTATTACTTATATAGATTAATAAGTTAGTTAGAGGGTATTTATAAGTAGTTTAAATTTTATTTAGGGGTAGTATCTATAGTTTACTAAGAACAGAGATACTTGTGTTAATTTAGATGTTATGTTATTAGCTTTAAACTATGCTATAGCTAACTATTTTACCTAGTTATTTTACTAGTAGTTTATGTACACTTATAAAACTTATTCTATTATAGTGTTTACATTCTTAGTCTAGCTATTAGTCTCTAGGTAAAAAGCTATAGATAGATAAAAGATAATTTAAAGCTGTTTATAAAGTTTGTCTTAAAAGGCTAAGACAAACTGCGTACCTCTGTCTAATATAATTATGTTAGGCAGGCTATAGTAAACTTATATATATTAGTAGAATAACTAGGCTATATTAGGGGCAGTTATAAAGGAACATAGTATTAGGTGTTAATACTTAGTTAAGTAATTAACAACTACTATAATATTTATATACTCTTTAGATAAAAGTAGGTTTATAATAAAATTAATTAATATATCTTTTTAAGCTTATTTAGAGATTAGAAGTAGTTTAAGCAGGCTATTATACTTTTTTTAAGAGGCCTTTACTTTACAGTAAGTATAGCAACATAATATGTATTAGCGTACAGTATAGAACATGCGGGGCTAGTAGTACTCTCTCTATAGTAGGTTAAGAGTCTTTTCTCTGCCTAGGTGTCCTTTAACAGGCAAGTTGTGTACAATTTAGAGTAGTTTAATTCTTAGTTTATTAGAATTAAGAATTATAAGTTAGTTATAGTAATATAGCTTACTATTTTAGTTTTTATAGTTAGCTAGTGTTACCTTCTTTAACTAACTAGCGCTATTTTAGAGTAGGTCTAAGGTTTTTTAAATAAATTTATTATTTAGATACTTATTAGTAATAATTTAATTTATTATTTAATTTATTTTATTTAAGTTAAGGTCTAAAAATAGCTTAAGTTAAAGTAGAGTTTAGTGTTAAGCCTTTTACACTTTTTTTTAAGCAAGGATGTTTTAGGATTGCCTTATAAAAGTATCTAGTTTCCCTCTGTCTTAACTAGAACAATAAGTAATCTTAAAATTAAAATAAGACAAGTATTTAAACTAATAGGCTTATTAGTAGCTAAGTTATTTTATAGTTGCAAAGTACTATAAGTTCTTATAGTTAAATAGAACCTATATTAGATGCGCTGCACTTTTTAGTTTAAGTTGCTATTATTTAAAGTAGCATACTATAGTAAGTAATTTTTTATTATAAATCTTATAATTGCCTTTTGTAGGACTTATTCTTTTTAAGAAGTATGTAATAGGCCTAATAGTCCTGTCTAGCTTAGTCTAGAAGAGAACTCCTGCTACTATGTAGTCTAAGGCATTAGCTTCTACAAGTATTAGTAGTTTAAAGTTAAAGTAGTAGAGTATTAAAGCTTTAGTAAAGGCTTTTTTTAGCTAGTTAAAAAACTATTAGTAATTTAAGTTAAAGTTAAATTAAACCTTTTTCTTAGTAAGTGTAATTATAAGGCTTACTAGCTGCAAGAAGTTATTAATAAATTATTAGTAAAAGTTAGTAAATTTTATAAAAGCTTAAACATTTTTTACATTCTTTAAGTATTACTAATCTAGCATAGTCTAAACCTTAATAGGGTCTATTTAGATGCTATCTGTAAAGATTACATATCCTAAATATGTAACTTTTAATTAGTAGAACTTACATTTATCTATATTAAGTTATAGACCTGCTTCTTCTATAGCCTTTAGCACTAGGCATACATGCTGTTTATGCTTTAAAAGGCTATTACTGTAAATTAGAATATTGTTAATATACATAGTGTAGAACACGTCTAGGTAGGGTTAGAGTAAGTTGTTTATAAAATATTAAAAAGTACTAAGCGTGTTAGCTAAGCTAAAGGGCATTACTAGGTACTTAAATAGTCTATATTAGGTCTAAAACACTGTTAGCTACTTATTACCCTTTACTATCTTTAGCTTATTAAAGGCAGTAATAATATCTAACTTTATAAAATACTTTACTTTACTTAGTTAGCTTAAAGTTTCTTGTAAGAAGGAAATTAAGTATTAGTTCTTAATAGTAATAGTGTTTAGTCTTTAGTAGTTAACATAAAATTAAAGCCTACCCCTAAGTTTCTTTATAAATAGTATAAGTAACACTACTAGTAAAAAGCTAGCTTAAATAAACCCTTTTTTTAAGTTCTTATTAAGGTATTTTTAAAGCACTTTTAATTTATTTAGCAACATTCTATATAGTAGCCTATAACTAGGTTGTTTACTAGGCTTAAGGCTTATTTAGTAATTATATAGATGTTATATTAAAAGCTTATTAAACTTATCTTAGAAAAAGACATGTAATAAGTTATAGTAGTCTTAAAAGACTATTATCTTTAAGTTAGTGTGTTTTTAGGGAGCTAAAGCTTAGTCTATATTAGAAATTATAACTGTGTAGATTTTATAATCTAGTTATTAAGCTAGGGTTATAAATAGAGTAGGTCTTATATAGCAGATGTCTATCTACTATTTAAGTCCTAGTTTATATCTAAATTAGGTAGGTAAAGGTTTTTTAAAGGCTTTCTTTTTTTTAAGTTTAAGTAGTTATTAAATTATTTTATGTAGCCTATCTTAGTAAAAAGCCTAGCTTATTAGCCTTACTTAGGTAGTTCTTCTCTAAGTTATTAAAAAGTAAGTCTAAAAACCTTTTATATTAAGTGCTATTTAAGTGTTGTTTAGGTGTAAGTGTAAGCATACATCTTAGCATTAAAAAGAGTTAAAGTTTAGAACTTACTCTTAGTAATTAAAAGCAACTTTATGCTAATACAGCTATAGTTATCCTAGAATTAGGTTATAATGTTTTATGTTTATTATATAAAGCTTAATTTGCTCCTTATAGTGTTAGTAGGTAATTATAATAGTTATAGTATAAAAGATAAAACTTTTTTTAAGTTGTTTTCTATTAAATCTAGTTAGGTAAATTATTTAAGTAAGTAGTGTTAATTAAAGATTTAGTTTATGCGCTAGTTCTTTGTTAATGTAACCTATGCTGTTTACTTCTAAGTTAATAAAAGCTTATATTAGAGCTAATATAGTTTCTTATTATAAATATATAAAAATATTAACTTAGTACTTTTAGTTATTAGTAGAGGACTTAGCTTATAAGTTAGCAAAGATCTAGTGTTAAATTAGTTCTAGAGAGTAACTTAGCCCTAGAACAAGCCTTTTTGCAGGCTCTTACTGCTATAGCTGCGGCTATGTTAAAAGTGGCAAGAGGGATTAAAGCTTAAATATAAGTTAAAGCCTTTACAAAAATAAAATTAAAATAGTAAAAATCTTTAATAAGTGCTAGCAGCACTACTTACGCAGACTTA